TCGCTTTTGTTGTCTTGGCCGAGGGAGAGCAAGATGTCTTCCATGGACGTTCAGGATTTTATCCAGCAAAACCGAGCTGTGGCCGAGCAGGTGGAGAACTACAGAGGCTACTGGGAGAGCGACAAGCACTGGGAGCCCAGGCGGGAGTTCATCCTGCGGAACTTGAACGACTTTGAAGACTCGCAGCTGGACCACCTGCTCTCCCTCTCAATGGTGTGGGCCAACAACGTCTTCCTCGGCTGCCGGTGGGTAAACACAGCGTGCTTTCATGCCTCTAATTAAAGCCTGCTGACGGACACTTTTTCTAAGACAGCCGCTCCACAGCTCCCTCAGCCCGGGATGACTAATCACTGTTTTTAAGTTTAGTCTTCCTTATTAAACAAACTAAAGGGTTGCTAAAGGGTAACAACCAGTGTTCTCTTTTCTCTGAAATTATTATTAGTTTAATTTTAGATTTAGTATTTACTTACTTACTTATTATTATTGTTGTTGTTGTTCCTGCTGCTTACTTACCCCAAACTATTTATATTCAGAGTTTATTGTTTATAGTGAGGTTTATTTTCCGCTGGTGGGCTCGGTGCTGCCCCCTGCAGCACTGGAGTCGTCTGCATAAGCTGCAATGCTACTCTGCTACATTTGCTGCAGACGATGCTGAGTTTGTAAAGATTTGTAAAGATATCCTGCTGGATAAATTATGTGGTTACACATTTTTTAATGCCCCTAAAAATTGTGGTTCAGGGAAAAAATATAATGTATGTATAATGGAAATATCAAATGCAATATTGCATTGATATCAGTATATCAGATGTTTGTGCCGGCTACTGGACAACATCCAGTCTTTCTTCACTGGAAAAACAGTCTTTGGTTATCAGGTGGGTCTCTTTATAAAGTTACAGGCCTTGTTTTCAATTTAACCTATTTTTGTTACTGTTTGTGGTGGCATCTTATGTTTTTATATATGGTGTATATGGTAAAAATTCTGCCACATAAGAAATTGAAACCCTACGATTTAGCGATCCTCTAACCCCAAGCACTTGGCCAAAGTTGAAGGGAAAATCTGCCCTTAAAAATCTCCTCTGACTGGTTGCAGTGTTGTGAAAAACTATTTAAAATGATAAGTGGTTTCTCGATTCAAAAGGTCTGGTAGTAGTCAGGTCTGGGTAACCCACTCTCCAAACTCATGTTAAGCGTGTGCAGGCAGATATAGCTTGCAACCTTGCAACAGCAAGTATGGATGTGCAATCCCAGAGAAGCTACACTACCTGTGCAATGTGAATGGGCTTCATGGTTCTGCCTCACTCTACTAGCAATTACATGGATGTTAGCAAAAAGCAGAACTAGGGTGGGCTGTCTTTTTGTTGCCTCTCCAGTGCACATGTCACTTTCTTTTGCAACAAAGCAGGTTTCTTCTTCCCGGCTGACTAGATTGATTTACTGACATTTGTGATATACTGTGATTATGAAATGTATGCCTGATGCCTGACTTGATATGAATGATTTGGACTCTTAGACAGAAACTGTTTTTTGTTTTTCCAGTTATTTAAAACAAAATCTGTATTTTTTGTTACACACCAAACAACTTAACAGATCGACTTGTCATTGTAGTAATCTGTAATTGCAGCCACTGGGGTCTGCGACTGGTATTAGCTTTTGGACAGCAATAAACCCACAAAATTGGATTTTCATTTCAGTGAGTTTGAGGGCGCTCGAGGAGCAGCGCTGGCTGTTGAAGTGCATATTGGATGTCTTCTGTGATTACACCTTCTAAAAGACATTAATCCTCGGAATTGGTATAGGGTGCAATCATGCAAAAATGCCAGATAAAAGGGTATCACTATTTTTTCATCCATAAGTTTGCACTCAAAGGTGAATCAGAAGCAGGACTAAATTTCATTTATATGAAGGGAAATGTGTAGGAGGTGAAGAAACCATTCACATCTGTTAACTTTATCAAAGAATAAACAATTCTTCTCTTACCAGTATTATAGTTTTCTGTTGTTCAGTGATGTTATTTTCCCAGTGCACTATATCCTTACAGAAGAATATAAAGCACACGGATGAATTCTGGTTTAATGCAGTGTTATGTCTCATAATCGATGGCAGGTATAGCACAGAGCTGCTGGAAAAAGTGAAGGAAATGGCTGAAGGCATCGTAGTGGAGGACGCACCGGTCTTCAAGACGAGAGATGAGATTGTTAAGAAGCAACAGGTATGTCTGTGAACACACACACACACGCAGCATATACATACAGCTATAATGACAGTCTTTGTTCATGGATCTCTCTGCTCCGTCACAGGGTCGATGACCGGACCAGTCATGCTGGATCAACACAGACTGGATTCAGCTTTTATCACGTCAGACTATTTTTTTTTTTTTTAAATAGTTTTACAATCCTGGTGTTTTTAACCCTTACCTTACCTAACCCTTTGTGAGGAGTTCAGACATCAAAAGACATTTTTATTTTGAGCCAAAAAACTGGCCTTTTCAGACTTTCAGCCTTTTTTATTTGTGCACAAACAGCAGCGGTGTCTGCGGGAGTTTGAGCCCCACTGCTCGACTATTTCAATCAGTTTTACTTTAAAAAAAAAAAAAAAGTGTTTTTTAAATGTAGCTTCAAACTAAAGATGACACTGGTGTTCTTGTCTGAAGCACAATAAAGAACTTGTTTTATCATTTTTGTGTGGTCATTGCTGTCTAGGTCTGTGCCTCCTCCTGGTCACATTGTTTTTGACTACATTATGGAGCCACTCCATAGTTAATCATATACGGCAATAAAATACAAATACTGCTACTTATAACTATGTCGGTTCAACGAGCGCTCCGACATGTAGAAAAGTGAACTTTAGTTAAAAGTAAAGCTACAGAGGTTCACATGAAAGCTGTTAACTTACTCTGGCACGGTGTGTTGGCAGCTGTCTTATTTTACATGGCAGCAATACCTGCAGCAAGCAGGAGTGACTCTAAAGGGTGCACTAGACCATATTTACTTGAAGGCTTTAGCAACATTATTTTGCAGATTTCTCTGAATACATTAAAACAATTTAATCAATATGTTTCAAAATATGAAAATTAAAGCTTTTTTGCAGACCAGTGAAAATATAGGTCAGTAAAACTCTTGAGCAGCTGACCTGGGGCTGTGAGGCTGAACACTCGATTATTATTAACATTAATTATTAACATGTGCACCGTCAGAACGTCTGTTTTCTTCAGCAGGAAGCTTTGCAAAAGCACAGGGCAAGCCTCAGTTCTGAGAATGCTGATATAATTGCTTCTCTTCATTACAACCACCACATTCTCCTTTAAAGGCTTACAGACACGCATACCAAGTGATTCACAAGCAAAGTTAAACACGCAGACATGCACTCACCAAACTGACTTCATCCCACAGATTCAATACTGTGAGAACTGTTTTTTAGTTCTACTAATATATGAGAGCTTCCCAAAAATCTATTTCATCTTAAGCCACGGTTTAGTGGCTTAACATTAACATTTTGGGACATTACTGTACTTGTGATTCATTTTTGCATTTAATAAAATCTGATTTAATATGCCACACAAATACAATGAATGGATTTAGGTTTTGGCAAAATTTACCGTATTTCCCGGACTACAAAGCGCACCTGAATATTAGCCGCACAAGCTAAAATCAGGGGAAAATCCTGTTTTGTACATACATTAGCCGCACCTGACCAAAAGCCGCAGGTGTTTCAATGTTGACTTATCATATGTAAGAGAATATGCACAAAGGGAATTGTCAGGAAAGAGATGGCTGTTTGGAGAGACACCCCTTTTATTAATATTTTGAAAAACAAGTTATGGGTACATATTTGCATAACTTTTTAGGTATATGTACAAGTAGCGGTAATTACAAGTACGAAACATGTACTGTGCTTCATAAATGAGTAACAAATGTAGTACATAACAATAACCTGCAGCACACCAGAAAAATAGATTCAGCCTACCTTTTAGGCTCAGGTGCAGTGACACGGCTTTAACAAGAAGAAAAGTCAGTCATTCACCACCATCTTCCTGCGCACTAAAACCACCAAAGTCCTCTTCTCCAGTGTCGGATACGAACAGGCTCAGGATGGCTACGTCATCCACTCTCAGCTTCTCTCCTTCGTTGTCACTTACAAAACCAAAGAAATCCTCGTTGTCAGTGTCAGAGTCAGAGTCGAACACCCTCAGAAGGGCCGTGGCGGTGTCCTCCTCTCCATCATGCAGCAGTCCAGCCCTTCGAAATCCGTTGGTGATCATGGATGTTTTCACACTTTTCCACGCTGTCAAATTCCACCGGTGGAGTTAGGCATAACTTGCTTTTCGCAAGTTTATCGCCGCTCGTCATCCACGACTCCCGCTGAACGCGTAGCGTTAATTTGAAGTTTGTTTTTCGCGCTACTTGTACGGCACTATGTTGCCTGGCGGATGGACACGTGACCAACACACCACTCTTGAACCCAGATACTGTGTGTCTGATCACATGCCCTTCCGCCAGGCAACGTAGTGCCGTACAACAGCGGAACAAACAAAACAAATCGGCTTACGATATGACAAAAATCATGGACAATCCATAGAAAAGCCGCACCTGACTAAAAGCCGCAGGGTTCAAAGCTTGTGCAAAAAGTAGCGGCTTATAGCCCGACAATTACGGTACTATTGCTCATTAATAACAGTACATCTTATCAATCACTGCAGTACTAATCTCAAGTTTTGATGAAGCTCGCATTGATTTTGGTACGAGCAGCGTAAAGACAGAGGCTCAGCAAACATGCCAGAAATGTTGCAATATCTTGCTTTAACCAAGTTACATGACAATATGAAAAACTACAATACTCTGTGTAATAGTTCCACCCTATAGTTAATTATGAGACCGGCTGTCGGTCTCTTCGCGTTAATCCTGTGGGTCCAGGTTACCTGTGTCACCTGGAATTAACCCAGCCTGGTAAAGCGCACAAGGAACCGGATGGATGAATAAATGACCAGAACCTGTGTCAAAGTCTGAAAAATGTGTTTTTTTTATTATGTTTATACAGCATATCGTTAAGTATACATTATGTTTATTTCACAAAATTGTTTTTTATAACATATCCCTTCTGCTTATTGGGTGAGATAAGTCACAAGCCACAATATAACCTTTATTATCAAGGAAAAGAGGAATTCTGGTTTATGATGACTGATTACTTAGCTGGAGTCGGGCAGGTTAAGTGAGTAATTTACACTCGAGGGATGGCGTTTTTAAATGGGGGAATAAGAGCAAATAAAACGGTGGGCAAAAAGCAGGAATGAAAACAACTTGAGCCCTTAGGAAAACAGTTGACATCACACTCTTGGAACAGGCTTTATGATCTTTGCAGCAGTTTGTTCTTATCCAATCAATTCTCTTATAAAGTGCCCAAAAATTATAGGGGGAAAAAAAAAAAAACGTATGAAGCTTTCATTCTCTGCTTATTTGCTAATTCAGATGTCAGCTGTGTCATTTTTAAGAGAAAGAACAAAAGCACCGACTGTGTTCAGGCTGACACATGTCACAGGCGACAAAGCATTCAGAAGTCATTTACTTTCTTTGACAAACTAAATGAGAAAACCAAGAGGAGAACAGTTTGACTGCAAACAGTAAAAAGGTTCAATAAATAGAAAAAAGCAGACTAAAGAAACACACGATGTAGAAGCAGAGTAGCTCCAGCAATGCCAATTCTGTCCCCATCCCCCCCACATCGAATGATACAGCGACACCACCCACATCTGAACTCGCTGGCTAAGGGCCATCAGGCCCTACATATATTTTGATTATAGCATTATATGCGGTTTCTAATATACCAAAGAATGAAACTGTCGGGGACTGCAGAGCCTCAGTCCAAGTTTTTCGTGTTAATATTCACTTTCTCATAACCCTCTCAAACAACCTTCTTCTACCCGCGAGCAGAAATGATTAAAAGAAAAGCTCAGAGATTGCCAGTCATGATTCATCAGTGCAAGGGAGACTTGGCACTGCTGCAGCCTGTGACGTCTGCGAGCCCAAACCTACAGCATCTCTTAAAATAAACAGAGATATGCTGGAAGAGATCAGGGACTGCTCTTTATCAGCTGAATCTGCTGTAGACTTCAAAGATGACGATGATGGTGATGATGCTACCGATTTTGGCTTTTCCCACGACTTTCAAAATAATGATTCAGTCATTGATGTGCCCCTTTCTTAGCCAAGTTGTGGATACAAAAAAAAAAAAAAAAAGAGGGGGGGATGGGAAGGAGTCTGTGAAACACAAACAGCATCATTCCAACCAGAGATATATTACAAATTCTGTTAGCAATAACTTATGTCACATCATGCAATAAAAAAATAAAATAAAAGTAAAGACAGGGAACAAATACAAGATTGATTTCCCCTCTCCTGTTTCCCTAAAATGCATTGGCAAGCAAGGTAATGTCCATTCTGGTTTGGTTGTTCTTGCACCCCCCCCCCAGTGTGGCACTTAAGTTCTTCTGATATAGTTGCTGTGTTTTCTTTTTTCTTGATTTTTTTTCTCGATGAGGTAAAAATGAGAGACTGAAGTACTTGGATGGTGAAGAGTGGGTGATGGAGAGAAGAGCAGAGAGCAAGAGGAGCTCAGACATCCACCCAGCTCTGCTCCACGATGGCCGTCACCCTCTTCTCGTACTCTCTCTTGTTTTCCTGATAGAGCTGTGCGGCCTGACTGTTGGCTGGGCTGTTGGGGTTTGGCTCGTCCAGCAATGACTGCGAGAGAGAAAAAGGAAGACTAATGATGAAAATGTTGACATCCTGAAGGTTAAATAACCAGGAGAGATACTTCGGATGTCCCTGTATAGAATCATCATGCTTCACCGTGAATTAAAATGTATGAAAAGGGAGTGAAACACGACCAACCTGGATGGAGGTGAGTATGGACGACACATCGTATGTGGGGCTCCAGCGATTCTGAAGTATGTCTAAACATATACTGCCATCTGCGTAAACTGACATGCAGAGAAAAAGATCAGCAACACATTTACAACTAAAGCTAATGAGGAATGTATCCGTGACCATTCATTTTATGCTAATGTGCGTTATATTTAATGCTGTATGCGTTCATATTTATTTGTTGCCCCTTGTTTTCTCATTGTACTGTTTTTGTTTGACCTGCCAGAGGCTACAGATTAAATATAGACATTAATGTGCGCCGTCCCTTTAATAAATACATGACACTTTTTTAAATTAAACATTTAAATTGAATTTAAATCATCAAGACAGTTTCTTTACATTACTGGTGAAGTACATTGTAATCTGGTGCTTGTTCTTATTGTAGCACTGCAAACTGAAAACTTAAAAATGAAACAAAGCCATAAATAAGTCTAACATATTACGTACATAACTCATCACAATGCCGGCATCCACCAAGGTTATTATAGTTCATAAAAATGTGTGAAAATACATTTTAGGCTCTGATGCATGTTTATTGAGACTGCGAGATCTGGAAGACTGGGTCTACAACCAGAAACTGAATAAAATAACAAACCATTAAAAAGGAAAATTGACAAATTTACAACATGTTTAGCAAGAGTTGGATATTTATTCTGAGTAAAAATGTAAAAAAGTTAAACATTCTTACAATTTCATTTTTAAACAGAGGATTGGGCCGCTGGTATAAACCTAGTGGAAAGTTGCAGTGGTTCATTTTTGCTCCTGGACATTTTTTTTAACTCTTTAAAAGAAAAAATATATATATTAACACTGTAGGGTTTCATTTAATAGCTACAGAAGTCTTGATGTGTGTTTATTTGCACAAAATATATTAAATATTACACAATCATCTACAAAAACCTACAATTTTTTTAGATTGGGTTTAAAACTGAAGCATAGGGGTGCTGGTTTATCTGGCTGGATTAGCTCACTGGTTCAGCATGTGACTCATTTGGCATAAGGTTAATGTGGAGGCCGCCCTGATGCCATTTACTGTTCTTTCTTTCAGCTTTCCTGACGCCTTTCTACCTGCTACAATAAAAGCTAGACACAGATAAAGTCCTCAGTCTTTAAACTTGTAGACTTTACTGCAGGCTGTCCACTCTCCTTCTATGAGATATACCTGCAGCCTATAGACAGGGATGATGTTACACTGTAAAATATAAATCTACTCATAGATTGTGCAACATTCTTATAGATTTAGTGTAGAAGGTAATTAAAATAGCCAGTAAAAATCTGATCTACTGGCCTGGCAGCCAAAACGTGTTATGTTGAACACTTATTCTAGTATACTTCAACACATAGATCACATAAACATACCTGAAGTTTTAAAATCTATTTTTATATTATATATATGTTGTAACAAAGATGTTTTTAAAGAAATAAAAGGCAATGATTATGTAAATAATTTAAAATTTTATTCCTACAATTTGTTTTTTAGCACAATTTTATATAAACCCGATTGAAAAAGTAACATTTTAGATGATCTGTAACAGATAAAGGATATAGTATAGATATAATACACACAAATAGAGCCATTACAAGTAAAAGTATTTCTGTATCAACTATAATGTGTTCAGAAATGACCCCACACTGTCATTTTATTCACTAGACTAGCTTAGTTGCTTGAAGGTCAGAACACTTTGTAAGCTTCAGTGAACATGGGTGCTGCACCACTGATAATTGAGGGCATTTCAGCTGCTAGCCCACTTACCATTTGGGTGAAACATTCTGGAGACAAACCGAACCGTGGGAGGCTTGTTTGGGTACTCCTCAGAAAACTCTATCAGAAGCTTAAATGTTCCTGCAGAGATAGACGGAGAGGGTATGAGGCAGAACAAATGACAGACAGAGGGAGCGCGAGGGGGGGTGAACGTAAGTAATTTTGCAAGGAGAATACAGATGTGAAGGATGGAGGGAGTCAGACAAAATGAGGGAAAGAATTATGTTACTATAAATATCAGCAGCTCGACTGAAAAGAGAAGCTGGAAAGCTAATTATTATAAAAGTAGCAATGGACAGTTTTAAATCCAAGCTTGGAGAAAACTGTATGAACGCTGCCTGCCCGCCTGGCAGGGGGACGACAATACCACATCAGCCTTTTATGGTCGAGGGGTAAAAATCGTACTTTATGATGCTGCGTCACCGACCTACAAACTTCTGTTCAATTCACATCATACTATAGTTAAAATAAGTACTTTTATTCATATTTATAGAGCCAGTGCGTGGATACAGCGAGTTTTCAGCCCACCAAAACTGAGCCCCTGATAATTGTTCAGTTGAAATTACTGCAGCTGTGATAACTTGCCAAAGGGACTCCTATACAAAAAATTAGACTACAACTTCTTCAACTTTCAAGGATTAAATGTCAGTTCCCCTTTCTACTTAAAAATAATTGTAGCAGTTCCTAACTCTCAGAGGTCTAGTTGTTATCACATGATTAAAATATGATGACCGATTAAAGTACCAATTTGTTTTCAATTTAAGTCATTTTAAATGCATTTCAGGCACTTAAACCACTCCAGATACTCAATTTGTAATCATTTCTAACTTACAATTAAAAAAAAAGAAGCTATCTACTCAGAGGTGTGGCGATCCTCACGATAATTGTGGGATTTTGTGCTCAGGTAGACTGATTATTTGAGCATGCAACCCATAATCATTTCACTACACACATGCTGCCCGAAAAGTAATAATACATTGACTGAGTTCTCCGACTCTACAACAACATCACGAGTTCAAGGCAAAGTTAAACCACATCTAGAACTCAGATAAACATGAGGCTGCACTTTAGATGACTCAAAATGTAGAACTTACCATCTTCAAATGGTGTTCCCACAGGCCTGCAGAAGGCAGAGAGAGAGAGATTTAAAATGTTTCCAAAATCCAAATATCCCCACTGCTAATCCCCATCAAGACCCTCTCTAGTAGTACTGCAGTCTGTCCTTCAAGGAGTAGAAGCTCTGCAGACACCAGGGTCCATATTTACTAAGCTCTTCGTGCTCACACAGAACATGTTGAGGGGCCAATTAAAACAGCTGCCTTCATACTTTACATGTGTAGCAGCCTCCCCTTTGATTTAGGTGAGCAACTACGATCGAGTGTATTTTTATAAACCCATGTGAGTATTTCTAATTTGGTTTTGTTACACATCCTTGGTCCTGGTTGGATTTCTAGTTACTTTCAGCTATTCAATTTGCTTGTGCATTTGATGTTTTATTAATTCTTGCGACTTAAATTTCACATCACTTCTGAGTAGATTTTTCTCTAGTCGCTCTTCTTTTAAACACGCACAGCAAATTATCCACCAGAGATACACCCAGTATGCAAAAAGCTACTTCTTTAATACGGGTTTATTCTTAACACACTTTCTTATCTCTAACAGTGTCTTCCAGCCCTCTCTTCCACTGAACACTTGCTGTGACTCCACATGCTGATTTTCCAGACTGCTCTGTGCAACAATCAGGGCTGCAATCAGAAACACTTTTTAAAGCAGAAGGATGTTGTGGACGAGAACACAGTGGGGGTGGGTGGGTTGCAGAATCTGCGCATCACAATCGCAGTGGCACAGTCAAGACGGCAGGGCGGATTTAGAGAATGACTCACCCAAAAATAACAGCGTTCCAAAGCATGATGTTGTTCTCTGATGGCGCTCCGCTCACACCGGTAGGAGGATCTTCTTGAAGTCTGGGCAAGACGAAGAAAGAAACAGAGACTTTAGAGTGAAGAAAAAGAGGTGAGACGAGAAGACATACACAGCAAAAAAGCCTGAATCAGTGGAAAGGGAGGCAGGGACATGAAGTAAAGGAGCAAAAGCAGGAGGGGGGGGATAAAGGGGAGAAAAACATGAAAAAGAATGATGGCAAAAAGAAAAACCCCTTAGATGTAAAGGGAGAGAAGCAAGTGGGAAAGACAGCTGAGGAGGGGTGATGGTTTTAATTAACAGCTTTACTGCAGGAAAATTAGCAATCAAAACACGAACTGCTGTATCAACACGACTTTCAACAGACAGCCACGCTCGCAGGATCAACAGCACTATGACAGTCCTGTTGTCACATGTCAGTGAACATAAGTGCTCATCTGAAGCACTGCAGCACCAGTATTGTATCCACAGTTACCATCAAATCTCTGGTGTTGTTAATACAAAGCACTTAAGCCATCAAGTCGACCTTCACCTGAAATGACTTCAGAGTAGCACCGACGGGCTATCAGAACAACGTCGAAGCAGGAAACAAGCGGGAGCCAAGAGCCTACACTACAAAGTAAACTCAACACATCCAGGATCTCTTTTCCTAATCTGGCTTCCCTTACCCTACCATCAGCCATCATCAGATTGTGTTATCACCACAAGACAACCCAGGCTACCCAACTAAGAGCACTAATGAAGCATGACTAGCACACACGACACGTTCAGCCACAGCACTGCTCTGAGAGGGAGGCAAATTGGGTAAGCAGTTTTAGCCTATGTGCAAGTTTTATATAAGGTCAGCAAGAAAAAAGCCCTTTTTTGGCATCACGTCATTATATTAAAGGTTACACACACACACACACGCACACACACACACACACACACACACACACAAAAAGAAACTATTTAAAAACTGCTTGTAGCCAATAGCAAAAAGAAAAAATGTACTGATTCAAATCTGTGTATTATCATCTGTGTTTGACCTTTTCACCTCTACTGTGACCTTGGACCCAGACCTTCCCAGTAATAGGAAGCCTGTAGTACTACAAAATAAACCTACCTTTGTTTTAATTAAGCATATTAAAATATCCTACAAGTAATATTTTCCCACCATCTTCCACAATGTGCTGATGAAAGTACTGCGAATCATATTCCAACCATAACCTTTACATTTCCTCTATAGACGCTCTACACTGCTAAATAATTCAGCAAGTTTGGTTGCAGAACCATGTGGAGACAAGTGATGAAAACCGGCACATCTACATGTCCAAACATTCTGGCTAATTGATAAAACTTATGTTTCTTCGTATCTCAGCAGCTAGACCCGGCCTGGCAGACTGGGCTCTAAATGAAATCACTTTAGTGTTGTTGTTTTTTTTAACAAGTTAAGGTGGAATAACTCTGCTATGTTTTCAAACATAATGTTTCATATTATATCTTCTCTACACAGACCTCGATCTGATCCGATGAAAGGTAAAAGATTGTCAAATGAGTGCCAGTCAAAGATTTGGAAACCATCGCTTTTCACATGATAGCGCTTGTAATTTGAAGGTAAAAGAGTGAGAAGGTAAAAATAAGAAACTAAAAAGGGTTTGAGATCATATATACATTTGTTTTGGACTGTTCAGCACCCAAATGATTTATTGGCTAACCCAAATTAACCACAGCTGGATTAATCATAATTAAAAATAATAATTAGTCGAGGCTCCACAAATAAAACTACCCAGGCGTGCCTGACAAACGACATGCCACAGCAGCAACTGCCTAGCAACAGAGGCGTCAGCAAATCAAAACAGGTGTGGCAGCGGGTCAACAATTTAAATGAAGTTTCCGACAGCGGCCTCAATAAAATCCGTGTTGGCTATCAAACTGATTTCTGAAGCTCATGGTAGATTATTGTGCAACATTAAAGGTCTTGCTTCAAATCACCAAATCTATATAGGCCAAGTCCGGCAGTCACTACAGGCTATTGAGGCCTACAATTCCAGGCCCGGTTTAAAAGCTGGTTTAATAAGAGCTTATAGCTATAAAACAAGGTAGGCTGATTTGTGCGTCTGTGAGTGCAGATCCATGTCTAAGTCCCTTGCTGTAGACGGACCCACTGCAATTAACCTCATTTACAGTAATCTCCCTGAACTCTTTGCTGGTAAAGGGAAGCTCCACTGAGTTCATCTTCTAGGATAGACCGATAGTTTATTTTACTTGAAACGTGGGGATTACTCACAAGTCTGCAGTAAGGAAGATTAGGGCAAGTACGGGACTGTTGATGAAGAGACTGCGTGGTGGTAAATTTGACATGAATTGTCAGAAAATAAACTGGGAATGCATTTTAATATATTAGCAGTTATTATGTTATTATTATATTAAGCTATTATGTAAAAATAAAAACAGGATTATTTGCCTTAACTATATGTGGACCAAAACATGCTCTCTGACCTCTAGAGACCGACGGCTGAGGCCAGAAAACACCCGATTAAGATTTAAAATTTAAAAGACTAGCCTCTTATCCCTACTATTCCAGCCTCTTTGATTCTCTTTCTTTGATTGAATCCTGAACTGAAATTAGCCCATTAATTTCAAATTAAAAGCCTCCTTTTGTAAATCAGACACATAAACCCCAAAACTGAGGTTACATATTTTTGGGGGGGAGAGGTTTGGCTTTTCCTCAATAGAAAGCATTAAATAAGTAATAAAGTAAGCATTTAGCAAAACAGACTCAATGCCTATGAAAAGGAAAACTGCTCTTATATAAGAAACATTCATATCATCTTTTTGTAGTTATATATCATGAAATACATCCAACATGTTTTCTCTTTAAATAGAGACAAAAAGTACAACTTGGTTTCATGTGACATTAGTAACTGTCATTTTAGACTCTTTATATCAGACACTGCATTGTTGCAGGACTTTAATTGCAATCCCTCATAAAACTGTTTATTATTCTAAAAACAGTGTGGTCAAGATAATCATTCATCTCAAACAAAGCCTTCTGGGAATGATGCAGTTTAGCAAATTCAAACACCCGGGGTTAAAAAAGGTACACAAAGTGTTATAACATGTGCCAAAAGAGGTTTTAATGCTCTCTAATAGAAATCAGAGCTTACACACTATTTAAAATATCCATGTGTTATATGAAAGGGTAATACCTGATTTTAAGCTAAAATGCGCTAAAATGTAACTACACGTATAATCATAAGTCTTCCTCATAGTAATATGCCCTACAAACTCAGTATTTCATTAGCATAAAGAGAATGTATCTACTAAACAATAAAACTATTTTAAGAGTGCAGAGAGATGCCCTGTTTCTCTTTCTTTTTAGCTCTGACAATGTGTGTATACATTCAGAGTCAGCTCTGAAGTCTTCTCTCCTTCCTGTGTTTCGGTAAAAGTAACTGCAGTTTGTGGTTTATCAGCTCCAGCCCAGCACGAGCGGCCCAGTTTCATTCATGAAGGCAGCAATGCAGACAACAACGTACAAGAAGAAATGCCACAGCTCACTGCAGCGTGGACTAAAATTATTTCTGAAAATGTATCTGGCGAAGAAAAGAAGGTTAAGCCTTACTGAATATAGTCAAAAAGAAAGGACCACAGCATTTATTTACCGTCTTATTACACCTAAATTACTGAGCTAAAACCCCACACAACAGTGTAGCGGCCCATTTTTAAGAATATATACACTTTGACTTACAGGTCAAACAGTTGAGGTTAAGCAATACCATGCAAGACTGAATTCAATCAGCCAGCACTGGCGTGGACACATGCTGATTCGGGCATGTGCAATTGTGTTTCCCTTGCCTCAGTGTCACCATTTACCACCTGGGGACTAGCAGAGCAGAGTTCAGTTACAGTGACACATTATCCCCTCCGCTTCAATGCCTGCTCTTAGTAGAATAGCTCAGCATCTTTTTTCCACTGACAGGTGTGTGTGTGTCTGTTATTCACGCACACACAGTTGGATGCCATATGGAGCGAGGCAACAGATTGGGGATAGCAGGTATTACAAGCAGGCCCTTGCCAGGTGTTATTCCCCCAGGAAGCCTTAACATATTCTTTTTGTTATCGTATCATCACGTACTAACTGTGTGTATTAAATATCTGGATTTAAAATAAAGCATCAGAAACATATAGATAGAGCAATCCCCGACCACAAACCTTGGCGAAACCTGCAACCCCTAGGATGAAATATGACCATGCCGACTGATTGACTTACTTGAAAGCACAATATAAACCTACAGCTTGCAGACTGCGGGTATTAATAGGATAAATCCTGTGACATTTAGCTTCTAATCGGGGCCAGTTAAGCCAAGACAAACGGTCACCAATAAACCTCTGCAAGTGAAGCTGATCCCACACCAAAAAAAGAAAAAAACAAAACTAGCCATAAAAAAAGAAAACGTTATTCCCTCGGTACAAAAACCTCACCCCACTGCAGAACACAAACAGCGTTTGAATGATCCCCTAGCGTCTCGGTTACTTCATTAGCCATCAAATATCGACAAACCATAACCGATGAGCCTGTCTCACATTAACTCCTGCCTGGGTTTCTGCACAGCATTGTTTGCACCAGGAGCTAACACTAAGCTAGCTGCCGACAGCTTCATGGGCTAAAGCTACACAGAGATGCCCAAACGATGAGGACGGTACCTTTTAAAATCTCGCATGAGCCGTCTCCTTGCCGGTGTCGACATAATTCAAAATGTGTTAAAAATACAGATATTTAAAAAACAATAATAATAACCCAAGACCATAGACCGAATACTGTCGGAAACAAAATCCGGTACTTCTTCCGCTTGCAGCTCTTTTCTTCTTCTCCCTGAACCACTGGCTAGCTTTAGCTATTTATGGTGACGTCGGTTGCTTACAGAGGCACAGCCCCTTTTAGCTCACAAACGGTGCTGATGTAAAAGCGTTAATTTAAACACCTCCGAGCTGCAAATCCAACTATTTTTGATACTCTTACTATAGGTGGTGTTCATTTTCTCAAAATACCCGGAACTCTTACATACTGTTCGTGTCAAATTTAACTTAAAAAAAAAAATAGCAGCAAAAAAAATTTCGTAAATCCTTTTTCTTTCCCCAAACTGCTCCAGAAATACACAAAATATAATATATTTCAAAATGTACACTGTTTATTTATATATTTATTTAATATTGTGCTACAATTTTCTGTGTATCCAGGCTGTTCCAGGTCATAATTGTGGAGATATGGATTTAAAAAAAAAAAAAAAAAATCTACCACTGTGGTTCAAATCAAGGGAAAATTGTGTTTTTTGGAAATCTTGTGACCGTGAAACTATAAATGTCATATCTCTGTTTATTTTCTTATGGGACAGTGGTGACATGAGAACTTTTATTTTCCCACCACATTTTATCAAGTTACTTTGAAGGGTCGTATGGAAACACCATAGGAGGGATCATATATGGTACATGTAAGAAACAGAGGTCTGCGGGTGCCTTGAAATGGACACGAGATCTAAAACAGGGCAGTGGTTAGAACTGTCACCTTGTAGCAAGAAAGTTTTTGGTTGGAATCCTGGAGCCTTTCTGTGTGGAGTTTGCATGTCTGACCAACTCCAGAGTAACCGACTTACTCAGGCCTCCTCCCACAGAGAGACAGAGACATGGATTTGAGTTCAACTGATGATAATAATTTAGTAATGTATGTGA